GAGGGTAAATTTAATATAGTTGTCCAAAAAATTCGTTATATAAAAATTCGCTATAGAGAGGTATGACTGTATATTGTAACAATAGTTAAAAAAAAAGAAATCTAATAATTCAAGTTGGAATGGAAAGTTAGTTAATAAAAGAAAGTATTAAAAAATACTTACAACATCATCATGATTATAATAATTGTAAAGAAAATAAAGAAAATTATGATGATAATAATAATAATAATAACCAATTTTCTGCTCCCAAAAAATGAAAAAAAAATAATATGAATTATATAGCCAACTTTTACAAAAAAAATAATATGAATTTATTAGTCAATTGATCTTTATTATTATATTATTTTTTAGATGATGTTCCTTTTCCTCCTGCTCCACCATCACCACCATATTTTTATTCAATTTATGATGAAAATTTGGGTAATTTTATTGGTTTTTTTTAAAAAAAATAATAAAATACAAAATATTTGAATTTAATTTATTGTTATTTCTTTTCTTTTTATTTAATTTTCTAATTATTATATGAATTGATAATACCATTATCTAGTATTATCACAAGCATTGATATACATTTCTTATGTTCCAAGCATTTGCTGTCCCAGCTATATGTTCCAACTATGTTTCATATACGTCCCAAATATCCCAAATGTCCCATCTGTCCCATCAATGTCCTATCAGTGTTCCATCAGTGTCCTAACTATGTCACATGATAATACTAATCACAAGACATAGTTAAGATATAGGTGAGACACAGATGGGATACAGATAGGACAGTTGAGACTGTTAGGACATAGTATGAGATATATTAGGACATATAGCTGGAACATATAATTAGAACAACAAATATCTGGAACATCAAAATGTACATCACTGTCACTACCACTAATATTGCTGTTACTCCCAAATTTGTCACTAATATAGTTGTCACTACCCCTAAAATTGTTATTGTTGTTACCCCTAAAGTTGCTGCTGTCTCCACCTTTACTACCATCACTAATATTGCTACTACATCAAAATTGCCGCAAAAAAAGTTGCTGCTACTTCCAAAGTTATCACTAATGAAGTTGTTTTCACCAAAGTTACCTTTACTAAAGCTACTACCATCAAAGCTAACATTACCAATGTTTTAAAAAAAGTAAATTTTATATTTATTTTTAATATTACATCATGAAATAATATATATAATATAATATAATATAATAATAATTTAGGAAAATCAAGAAACCAGAAGATTTATTATTCTGATTTAGAAGAATCAAATAAATATTTTATATTTTAAATGTTTATTTTAAATTGTAAAATTCTTGTTTAATATTAATTTATATAAAATAAATGAAATTTCATTTTTTATTTTTATTTTATTTTTTTTTAATAAAAATTTTTTAATTTTGAAAATTATATTTATTTAATGATTAAATATATAAAAATTGCAATCAAAATTACGTATATAATTTAATGTTTATATGTTAAAATCCAACCAAAAATAATATATATAATATACTGATTAAACATAAAGAATCCAACTAAAAATAACATATACAATATATTGATTAGATATAAAAGATCCAATTAAAAATAACGTATACAATATACTGATTAAACATAAAAAATCCAACCAAAAATAATGTATACAATATACTGATTAGACATAAAAAATCCAACCAAAAATAATGTATATATTATACTGATTAGAAGTATAAAATTTAACCAAAAATAATATATACAATATACTGATTAGTTGTAAAAAATATATGCAAAATTACGTATATAATATACTGATTAAATATAAATTCCGTATTTTTTTTACATACGAAACAAGTCAATTTTTAGTATTTAATATACAGAAATACTAATTAAAGATAATATATACAATATACTGATTAGATGTATAAAATTTATGTACACAATATACTGATTAGACATATAAATCCGTATTTTTCTACATACAGAAAAAGTCAATTTTCAGTATCTAGTATATGGAAATATTTACGAATTTATTATACTGTTTTGCTACATTTATTATATGTTTTTAAATGTATTATTTTCATATATTTTTCTTATACAGATTATTTATAGGATTAAAGGATATGCAGCTAAATTTTACTACCAGCGTGTATTTAATAAAAGTATCAAAAATAAAAAAGGATTTCAATTAGTTTTTTGTTTTTACTTTTGTAATTGCTTTTTATAAAACCAAATAAAGTTATTGGCAGTATCACATTAAAAAAAAAAGGATTTTGACCATTTTGATTATTTCAACTTTATGTATAGTCTAATTTAATCCAAGTGGTAAAAGATCTTTAATATAATTAATTATGTTAAAGGCCTTTTATCACTAACTTTTAATAGGTTTTCTTAAACTCAATTAAGTTTAATCAAGTTTTGAATTTAAAAAAAAAGTCATTTTAAAGGTTTTGAAAAAGTCTTTAAATTTATGTTAAAATAGGTTTCAAACAATATTTTTAGTTATTATTAATTTAAATAATTTATTCTTATAATAATAATATATTATCTACTTTTTAAACGATCATTAATTATAATTTTAATAAATTTTAAGTATATAAAAGATATATTAAATAACATAATTACTATTTTAAATTTGAATATTTTTTCTTTAAAAATTATAATTAGTATACAAAATTTATTTTATTTATTTTATTATTTTAAATTTTAAGAGAAACTTTATCTTAAATATTATTATTTAAATTAGTTACTATCTTGTATTACCTAACCAACAAATTAAAAAAGATGATCTTCACTATGATTATGTAAAATTAAAGCCATCCAACCAAAGTTATGAAACTTCCGATCAAATCAAATTCCAAAATAAATCACTATGATATAAAGCAAAAAAAAAAAAAAAAAAAAAAAAAATTTTTTTCTAAATCTGATTCTATTTTTCACTAATTATAAGAAAAATCAAAAAGCATCTTAAAAAATGATTATCTACAAAGACGTCTTTAGTGGTATAATATCTTTTTTAAAATCTGATGATTTAACGAAAGAAATATAATTAATGTTTTCATTTTTTTTAGGAGATGAATTCGTTTCTGACGCTTATCCTATGAAATTGGTTGACGATGTTGCATTTGAAGTTGACTGTCAGGTTGCAAATTTTTCTGTTAATTTATTTAATTATAAAATTCATTATAAATTCTAAGTTAAGTGTTGGGTCTAAAAGTATCATAACCAATTATATAGCTTGTAACGGTTAAAAAAGGAGCTGAAGTCGATATTGGAGCAAATCCCTCAGCTGAAGGAGGCGAAGAAGAACTCGAAGAGGGCAGTGAACAAGTTAATAACATAGTTTACACTTTTCGTCTTCAAGAAACTTCTTTCGATAAGAAAGGCTATCAACTCTATCTTAAGGATTATTTGAAAAAACTTGCTAAACATCTTCAAGCGAACAATCCAGATTTAGATATAAAAGCGTGGCAAGCTAAGATTAGCGCTTTTAGTAAAAAAATCTTTGATAGTTTCAAAGGTAAAAGATTTCTGCTATTTGAAATTATAAAAGATAAATATTAATCGAATAATATAATTTTTTTCTTTTTAATAGATTATCAGTTCTTTACCGGCGAGTCTTTTGATCAGTCAGGTACAATCGCATTGTTGAATTATCGTGAGGACGGGGTTACACCGTATATCACATTGTTCAAGGATGGGCTACTTGAAGAGAAAGTGGTGTGTATAATAATCAATTTATTCCAACGAAAAACTCATATTCATATATTAACTTATTTATTTATATAGTAACTGAATCCCATAGATTAATTATCATCATAACAAGTTTATTTCATCATTTTTTAAATTTCTATTAAAGGATCAATTTATTTTTATTTTTATTTTATTTTTTTTTAAGAAAAAAAAAAGTTTAGAGTTTAATAATCAATTTGAATATATTATCTTTAAATTTGCGATGATTTTACAGAAATGGATTGGTTTTAGTGAAATTAAAAGTTGATATAGTATTTCAAAGAAAACAATATATACGGAAATCTAATCATTATAGAAAAGTTGCAAAATAATTGCTCATCCGTTATCTTAATATAATTTCAGTGTTAAAAAACCACATGCAACTTCCAAAAAAAATTAATAACTTATTCAAATTGTAGTATGTTTACAAAGCCATTGACGCGTAAATCTCTGAAACTCGAAAAAAAAAGGCACCCATTTACAAAATTCTAAATTCAAAATATCTGTTAGCTAATCAGTTATCCTAGAATTCGATGGTTTGGATGCGCCTCGATTGATTTATTCCGCCCTAAATAAAAAACCTCCAGTTAAATAAATCACGTTTCAAACTAATTTTAAATATTTTTCCTTGCTCGATAAAGATTTTATACAAGAATTGTAACAATGCACGTTGCTACCTTCAGTCGAGGATGCCGCAGAATCACTCGATGGCATGCTGACGAATTTACTAAGAGTATGCTCCATTGTTGTGATCCGCTCATTAAGCATTAAAATCATGTCTTTAAGCTTTTATCATTTTCATGTTAAAAATCAATAAGTTAGTCAATTGTGACGCGTAAATTTATGAGTTCATCATTAAGGATTTATACCTTATTTATTGAGATTTGTTGCATCCTAGCACTCGGTAAAGTATGAGTATCTGACGGCGTAGATTTTGGATCAATAAAATCCCCAAGTTGATAGCTAGTAAAATCAATAAATTAGTGTATTGTCCATATTAAATTTATTAAGATTAATACTTACATCATTACACGATCTAGATTTAACGAGTACAAATCTCTTAATAGAAGCAAATTAAATTTCGAAAATGAGCAATTTGTTGAATTAAAATGTGGGAGAGATATATATTTAATACCGAATATAATCCAATTTACGTGGTGTAGTACGCCATACTTTCCCGAGTGTCGAGTTACAACCAGTACAATATATCATAATGTATGTACTATGTAGTCGAGATGGAAAATGAGTCGTAGCACTTTTTAGCGAATTGAAAGTTTCAATATATTCATATTTACCTTCCAATGTCAATTCCTTCTCTTGACCATAATAGATCAGTACCAAGCCTGAGATTATGGGGTTTTGCTAAATAAAATAAAAATTGATAAATAATCAAAATTAAACACGTAAAAAAGATTTAAATCTCTAACCATATAGCACGACCGAATTCAATTCACGATCTGCTGTAACGAATGCAAACGAATCTCCCACAATCAATCGACATTTTAAACACTGAAAAACCAAAGGGCCCGTGATTTCCTGCAAGACGCGATTATGTTGAGGTGGTGGCTTGGCAGCGTTTTGTTGGTTTGACTGATCCTATTAAATATTAAAAATATATGTTCATATATAAAGATATTAAAGGAAAGAAATTTGAAGAGAATTTTCACCATCTTTATAACAAATTCGTTTCTTTTGCTACGGATAATGCTTTGTAGTGATAAAATTCATCGATATTCCTCAAACTTTTCGCGTTGAGACATGTGACTATCATGTGATAACTATTCATGTTTAAATAGCGTATAAATTTGCATTTTTTTTCACAGAATATTTATTAAACTTTTATTACACAATGTGTAAGTCTTTAAATTTTTTCCAATTTTTCAGTTTCACCTTTTCTTCGACGTGTCATTAAATTAATTTTTAACAGCAAACGGAGGAAATTCTACGGAGAAGCAAACTCAACCTCCCTCGAGTCAGCCTTCTCAACCTGGACAAACTAACACAAAGCAAGGTGAACAACCTGCATCAAGCACAAATAATGCAAGCAACTTGAAACCGTTTGGTTTCGGAATATCTTCATCAGCAACAAGTAGTTCGCAACCGAGCATTGCTACTCCGACACAATTTGGATCCGCTTCTGCCGCCACAACTACTCTAGCCTTTCCTAATACTAATACTAACTCAGGCTTATTTTCACAGAATATTCCGTCGGTTTTTGGTTCCTCTGTAAATACTTCAACAGCACCTTTTGGATTCCAAACTACTCCCTCATTATTACCTTCACCCTTCGGCACGATTAATAAATCAGTTGGAACCACAACAGGAGCCGTGACAGCATCACAATTTGGTTCTTCTAGTTCAAATGGTGAAAAAATGAATGATTCAACAACAACAACAACAACATCATCATTACCATCTTTTAATGCTGCAACTACTTCTCAAGCAACATTTGGAGGAACTGCAACTCCTAAATCGTTTGGATTCGGAGCACCGGTAACGCCTACAGGAACTCAACCATTTGGTAGTTTCGGAATAAAAACAACCACTGTCGCTAAACCATCAGCCGCTACTGCTCAACCAACAACCAGCGTTGCAACTACAACTACTCCTCCATCGCCTTTTAGTAGTTTTCAACCACCAACCAGCGCTGCAACTACAAATACTCCTCAATCGCCTTTTAGTAGTTTTGCCCCTTCTAAATCAGGATTTGGAACATTTGGAGCTGCAAATCAACCAACGGCAACTACGGGATTTAATGGTTTTGGTCAATCATCTGCAGCAAAGACAGTTCCATCGGGATTTGCCGGTTTCGGCACAACAAACCAACCATCACCTACTACAACTTCAACTCAATCACCATTCACTGCTGCTACTACTTCTCCGACATCCTTTGGTGGTTTTGCTAAACCATCATTCGGAAGTTTACAGCCAAGTAGTACTAGTGCTTTACCCGCATCAACAACTTCTGGGGCAGGATTAGGATTCGGAGGAATTACAGCTACTTCCACCTCTACCTCGGGTCCGAGTTTTGGCTTGGGAAGTGTGGGAGGTGGTGGCGGCGGTTTCTTGGGTGGGTCTGGAATTGCAAAGACAACTGCTCCTCCTCCTTCTCCCTTTGGAAATTTAAATAGACCAAGCGGTTTAGGCACCACAACATCAGCTTCCAATTTACAAACTGGATTCAACGTTGCAACTACAACATCTCCAAGTCAAAATTCAAATCTTTTTTCTAGACTAAGTAGTTTTGCATCTACACAAGCATCTATTGTTAAACCATTTTCAGCATTCAGCACTGGTACAACCACCACAAGCGCGCCATCAATTTTCACAGCTTCAGGTGAGAAATGTAATCATCTTTATAAATTTTTTTTTGAATATATTACTAATAAGATCTGATTTACAGCTTCGACAACAACACCATCTATATCTGTAACAAAACCTTCAATTATACCACAGTCCACATCTGTTGGACTTTTTCAAAATACGCCATCGTCATCCACAAAACCTCAATTTGGTTTAGCTAGACCAACTTTAAAAGCACCAGTCAGCACAGGTGGATTTACGACAGGGACACCCATCTCAATTGGAGCAACGACGCAACCGTCTACAGTAACAAATGAAGCAACACCAACTTCATCAGCTTGGTTAAAAAATAGCAATATTGAAACCATAATTAATAGATGGAAAAAAGATTTAGATATTTTTCTCAAAAAATTTCACAGTCAAGCAAGTGAATTAAGAGACTGGGACCAAAAAATCATTGAGAATTCTGGAAGGGTAAGTAATAATAAAATTCAAACTTTATTAAAATTTATACATGATATCTAATTTTTTTTTTTTTTTTTTTTTGATATATTACAGATAGTTAAATTAGAAGAAGAATTAAGTAAAGCCGATTTGATTCAGTCTGAAATTGATTCAGGTCTGGAGAGTATTGCAACGCGTCAGGATGAGCTTGAAAAAATGTTGTCAGAGTATGAGGTGAAATTTTCTGAACCAGTATTGGATAGTACAAGACCTTTGGATAAAGAAAGAGAAAAAAAGTAAATATTCTTTGATATTTTTTACGTAAATTCAAAATTTAATTGTTGATTTAACATCACCTTTTTTCCCTCGAAAACTAGTTATGATATGGCCGAAGAAATTAATCAAGAATTGGGTGAAATGAGTCAAGTTTTGTCCACCATTATTACTGATGTTAATCGATATGTAATAAAACCTTCTTTTAGTGATGAAATAAACGGAAGCCAAGAAACAGTTGAGAAAGAAGATATAGAAGATCCGGTGAGTTCAGTTATTTAGTTATTATTATTATTGTATAATGTTAATAAGCTTTTGAAAACATGCTCAATACTTTTAATTAAATCTTTTATTCTTTCAAGATGGATGAAGTTATCAATATTCTTAATTCGCATCTAACATCATTGCAATGGATAGATTCGACAGTTAATCAACTTACTCAAAATGTTCATAATGCAAAATTGCTACTTACTCAAACTCAAAGCGAGTTACAACAGCAAAGTGGACAAAATGGTACCGGTAGTAATTCCGGATAAAATGTAAAAAATATTCCAAGTATATATATATATGGTTAGACTCAAGATTCATAATTTCTTTGAATTTACTCATTAGTAAGAAGTGATCAAAAATGAATTATTTACATTACATAAAAGAATGAATCATAAAGGATTTCAATTGTTTTAAGATATTAATTTTATTACGAGTGTAATATAGCATCAATTTGTAACGTACATAAAAAAAATGTTTCATTTCAAAATGTCTATATAATAATTCCCCAATGTCCTATAGTCAGTGCTCTGTCATTTCAATTGACAGATCCGATTAGATTATTTCGGTTCTTGATAATGACAACTATTTTAAAATTATTATTTTTTTTTTTTTTAAAAAAAATCAAATGTCAGCAACAATCAGTCGTTCAGGTTTACAGAAAGAAGTAATAAATTTCTATCGAAAGTGTTGTAGAGCTATTCGAAAAAAACCTATCGTAATCTTTCTATTTTCAAAAGAATGAATTTTTTTTTATACAATTTATCTCATCTCTGGTTTAGTAATTCGATTGCAAAATTTTTAATTCTTTAGGAATCACGATATAGATTTCAACAATTTGTTAGATCACAATTTCGTCAACATGACATATCACCAAGAGATCATAATGCTATAGAGTATATGTTGAGAAGAGGTAAAAGACAATTGGAAGTCTATGATAGTGATAGCGTTAAAGACGTTAATTTATAAGTTAAAAAAGAGAAAAGTTTTAAAATTTTCTATGATGAATTAATTCTTTTATGGTCAAATGTTGTTTATTTAGTTAAGTCCCTTTGTTAGTAATATTTTAAGCGAAAAAATAAATCATAATCGTAATTTAAAGAATAATGAAATTTACTTTGAAATTGAAGAAAATCATTTTTTTTAATATAATAATAATGATAATGATAATTATAATGATAAAGTTCGTTCTGATCTTAAATTACATCCCTAAATGCTAACTAAATACCTAAATACTTTCTGTCAACATATACATAATAAAAAAATCCTAAGTAAAGAATTTATTATTTTTTTTTTATTTCAAACTTTTACAGATATTCAAATGTTTAAATCCTCATCAACACAAACATTCTTTACTTTTATGATATGATTATTCTGTTGTTGCTTTCTAGGTTCAATAACAACTTCTTTTCTTCCAATTAATTTAGCTTTACGACGCTGTTCTAATAATGCTTTACGTTGACTTTCATCAAATGCTGGACAAGGTAAGAAAGCTGGAGCTGCAACGGTAAATACTGCAAATAAGGCAACACTTGAGAATAATGTAAAGGTAACTTTTGATTTTTGTGCTGCTGTTAACCTTGCCGTTATTATTGGACGCATATTTTATTTATCTTGTTTGAACTAAAAGAACAAAAAAATATCGTAAAGTTCATTAATAGATAGTTGAAATAATATATGAATTAGAAAAACGTGTGTTGTGTATTCTGTTCTAAATGAGTAGTAGAAAAAATTTTTTTCTTTCAAATTTTCTCGTTCGGTTACACTGATTTTTGAGAACGCATTAATCACGTGATTTTGCAGAAGGTTCCGTAATCAGTACGCAATTAACTCAACGCAAATACTGCGCCAAAAAATCAAAAAGTTATATAAATGAACGATTTTTTTCTCACAAAATTTATGAAAATATTTTTTAAATATACATCATGTCAGAAACTCAACGCGAAAAAAAATCAAGATGGCTTCCATTGGAATCGAATCCACAAGTTAATCAATTATATTTTCCCGTTTAAATGAACTTTTTTTTTTGACATTTTCTCAAGCTCTTGTTTTTATTTAAATTTTTTTAGGTTATGAACGACGTAAGTTCAAAAAAAAAAAATTGAAAATTGGCGGGACTTTCTCTATTACCAATATATAATGTACAAATTGAACTCAACTTTTTTGAATTCGCTTGAATAGTATATCTATAAACTGGGTGTTTCTCGAGCTTGGGCTTACACTGACGTTTGGGGTTAAGTACTAGACTTTTGTCTCGAGTAATAAAAACGATGAATTATCTAATTAACAATTAAATTTATTTCTATTAGGTCTTGATAGTGATCTTTTGTCAATGATCTCTCAACCTGTCAAAGCAGTCCTTCTTCTTTTTCCCATAACCGAAAACTACGAAAGGGATAGTAAAGAAGAAGTAAAACAAATTCAAGAAAAAGGGCAGGATGTTTCCCCAAATGTGATTTTTTATAAACAAACCATCTCTAACGCGTGTGGAACCATTGGATTGTTACATTCACTTGCCAGTAATACGGACGCAATTCCAATTAGTATGTATTTCATTATAAAATTGGTAAAACTTTCATTAATAATGACACGTGTCTCTTCTTAACTTTTTTGATAGATGATGGTCCACTAAAAAGTTTGTTGGATAAAACAAAGAATTTAACATCCGATGAACGTGCTAAAGTTCTTGAGAAAGACCAAGAGTTGGCAGAAGCTCACAAGTCATCTGCATCGTCAGGACAAACTAGTGCAAGTTTAAATTACCGAGTTCAAAATCATTCATTGTTGTAATCATATATAAATTAATTAGTTTATTATAAACAGACGCCAAGAGAAGATGAAGTTGTGAATTTGCATTTCGCTACTTTTATTGAAAAGGATGGTTCTATCTATCAATTGGATGGAAGAAAACCATTTCCTATCAATCATGGCCCATGCAAAAATCTATTGGAGGTTAGTAAAATAAAAAAACATAGATAAATAATGAGAATAATAATAATAATTCCGTGATTTAATATATAATAGGATTCGGCTAAAATTATCAAAAAGTTTATGGAAAGAGACCCCGAAAATTATCAATTCACAGTAATCGCGCTCACACCTAACCAAGATTGATGTTGTACTTGGATTTTTGCATAACCGTTAATGGAAGCGTCTTTTTTAATCAGTTTCTTCGGTCCAATTCGTAATTGTTGTTTCTAGTTCATTGTAAAATTTAACCATTTTGTCGTATTGATTTCGCCATTCAATTTCCCTTTTATTCCAATAATTTTCCATTTTATGTATCTTTTCATGACTTTCATATAATTGATTTTTTAACTCGCTATTTTCTTTTTCGGATCTTTCTAATAATAAATCGACTTTATTTAATTTATCTTGAAATTTTTTCTTTTCTTTTGTAATACTATCTAATGAAACTTGTGTTAATTTAAATTGTTTTTCCAATTCTTTAAAATTATTATCACGATCTTGTTGATTTTCTTTTAAAATGTCAACTTCTTCAAATAATTTTTCAATTATTTCTTCTTTTTTAACGAGTTCCGATTTATAATTTTCGATCATGTGATTAGGTTGATTGGTAGCCATATTCAAAATTTTGATATTGAAATGAATGAATGTTTTTTTATGTTTTTATGTTAAAAAAAAATGATCCGGTTATTTATATATAAACAATTTGCCGTCTTACGTCACATAATTATTCTATTGGAACATGAGATTATTTGTGTTCTGTTGAATTTTACAATTTGCATATCAAACATATTTAAAATATATGAAGAAATAACTTTTAAAAAGATAAATTTTTTATTTATATTTTTTTTTTTTTCATATCCCAATTTATGGTAATATTATGGTAATTGATTTTTAATATAAATATTTAATTAAGTATAATCCGTGTGATATAAGAAAAAAGTATAAAAGATTTTCAAGATCTGTTTAAATGTTTTAACAAAAAAATAAAAAGATTTACCATAGCGAGTTTTTTTTACTGGTTTTTTTTTTTTACCTTATAAAGCATCGAACTATATATTTTTATTTTTCCACCCAACATATAAAATCCGCATTGGTCCAGTGGTTAGGATTTCGCGCTTTCACCGCGACGGCCGGGGTTCGATTCCCCGATGCGGAATGAAGTTGGATGAATTTTAAAAAAAAAACTTTTTTTTGTCGGGTAATTTTTTTTTGCGTTACATTTGAAAAAAATATCGTCACGTGCTCGTTCAATGACCTTTTTATTTTTATTTAACGTTGATTTTTGATGAATTGGCCGAAAAATAACCTTATGACGAATAACGGTTTGTTCTCTTCGGAAAATTCTTTCCCCAGAATAACTGCACAGTTGAAACTGAAAAGGTGTTACATGACATGATGACACCGTTTTAATGGTATTATGTCACGTGAGTGTAAAGTACTGAATTTGTATTTTAATTTGGCGATCATTTTGAGTTCTCGATAATTTTTTTTTTTTTAAAATAAAAAAAGGTTCGACCGAAAACCAATTCCGTAATAAATCTAATAGAGTAAACAAAAGCGTATTTACTCATTTGATAAAAGATGAATGAAAGTAATTAGTTTGAATGTACACGTGAGCCATATATCACATCAATGTTTTTTAACACTTTTTTGAAGAAGAACCTCTCTTATTTAAAACGAAAAAAGGAAATTATGAGATATTAAAACCCAAAAGTCATTAATGAAAGGCAAAATCCGAATTAATTTAATGTTAAAAACGCCCAATGAACCGAATTTGGATTTGAAGTGTGCTTTTTTGCTTGACCGAACTTATTCTTCAATATTGTGATGATTGATTGTGTTGTGATTAGGTACTATTTATACAATTGAATCTTAAAAGGAAAAGTAAATTAAAAATTTGTATTTCAATAATTGTTACCCTGAAATTTATTGATATTACTCATAATCGGAAGTCGGATAGAGGATTTATCACATAAAAAATTATTAAATTATTAATCGTTTAATAAATAATCGTTATTTTGATGATTTATTCATGATACTAAAATTAGCGCCGTTGTTTGATCGTCATTCGAAGATCATCAAAGAATTTTTTTCAAACGCATAACTCCATGTCACAAGTCACTCAATTCAAATCAAATTTTATATTTTTAAAGGTTGGGGTTCGGTTCTAGAAGGGGAAAACTTTTGTATCACCATAATTAATGTTGAATGATTAATTCGCCGCTACGAGGAATTTATTCTCCAATAATTTCGTAATCAAGTCAAAGAAGTTAGTTAAGGGTTAGGTCATTTTTTTTTTTTTTTTAATACATGACTTTCTTTGGAAAATAAACAAAGTAACCGATACTTACAAATACATCTTTTTTTGATTTTTCGATTTTTTCTTTTTTTAATGTCGGATCGCGTTTTACCGCCATAAAAAAAATGATTCGCTTTTTTCACCTTAAAAGAGTCATCAATGATTGAATATTGACCGAAAAAAAAAAAAGTTTCGATTTCCTATACCGAAACCCCAAGAATCAAAAGCCTTGTTAATTCATTAATGATAACATGCATTATATTACGCATAATAATTTTTTTATTTTTATTATATTATTTTATATTTATATTTTATATTTATAATTTTTTTTTTTCGATCTTTCAAATCAAGTAACGAATTTTCTCGGAGAATATGATGCCATCACATAATGATCTTTGAAAAACAAATATTTTTAGGAAACCTTCTACAACAATGAGATTCATGTTCTTTTACTCGAATATATATATTTTTTTTGTTTATAAATATGGCTCAATATCTAGAAGGGAGAGGGAAAAAAATTACCTAGACAGAACAAAACCGAAAAAAAATATCTACATATACAATATATATATAATATTGTAAAACGATCCAACACACTCACACTCGAAACCTATTTTTTTTTTTTTTCTTTTTTTTTTTCTTTTTTGTTCTGTTACGTTCAAACAATTAAAAATCTTTTTTATTAAAGATTTTTTTTTTTTTGTTACTTCTTTGTTAAATTCGTTAACAAATTATCGCGTTGGAAATATTTTTTCTTCGAATCATGTTATCCGCGTCAACCGTGCCAACCGATACGTCTATGGCCTTGGTCCCGGAATATTTAAAAAATGTGCCATTTCCTCCTAAACATTTGGACCTGGAGCAGATCCTGAATACGAAACCTCATCGCTCTAAATTAGCCTCTTACAGAAATGCGCATATACGAAAACGCACTATCAATGCCTTCCTATTGTATCGTAAAGAATGTAACGAGTATCTTAAAAAAGATAAAAACGTTAACCCAAGACAAAAATTATTGTCTCCTTTAATTGCTAAATTTTGGAAGAAGCAACCCGAAGCGATTAAAATTTATTATGAAGATCTTGCCATACGGGCAAAGAAACTTCATAAAGAAATGTCACCTCAAATTCAAATTCGTCATTTTGATCCTAAATCTATGAATAATGGAAAATCTATTAAGAATAAAAATCATTATATGCAAACTGACGAATTTATTACCAGTCCGACTTCTTCAAACGATGATGACTCTGTTACTTTTGTTGAAATGCAAAAACCCGTCACGCAATTAGCTACGATTCATGATTCGTCTTTTCAGGAACAATTATGTGGTTTTTATCATTCTTCTTTAACTTACAACCAAAATTTATATATTTATCATTTGTGTAAATTGAGTCTTAATGGTTTTAATGCGTAAAAAAAAAAAGGGAAAGGAAAAATAATTGTAATAATAACGAAAATAATTTTAAGATTATAAGTTTTTTTTTAAGATATTTTTAAGACAGTTAAGATATAACATTTAAAAAGGAAGAAATTTATGTTAAACATTCACGTTAATAAGATTTACACTAAGGATTCCAATTACGATGAGAAAATCACGTTTTATTTATATTAAACAAATACTATGTATCACTTTTTTTATAAATGAGAAATAATAAAAAATATATATATATAAGCCTAATATGATAATAATAAATTATAAAATATAATTAAAGTACATTAATGTTATGATTCGTTGCTATCCTTATTTTCATTGCCTTTTTTTTCATTTGTGGCATTTTCTGTTAACATGAATAATTGTTTTAAATTTTCTTCGTTTTTCTTTTGTCTTAATCTTTCTATCTCCTCAGCTCCACCAGTCTTTTTTAATTTATTTTGAGAGACAAAATTTGTTAATTCTAATTCAAATTCATCAATACGGTTTGCTAAGTCGCGCTCTCTTTGTTTTTCCGCTAATTCCATAGCTTTTATCCTTCTCTCATGATCAGGTGCAATTCCACGAACTTCTTGAAGTACAGATTTTAACCCTTCAAACCCTTCCTCTATCGGTTTGACAGTAAATTCGATTGGTTTTGGTTTTGATTTAGATTGTATTTCTACGACTTTCATAATTTGTTCAAATACTACCTTTATTTTCTTATTATCATCTTCTAAATCCTCAATAAGTTCTTCTTGATGAATCAAAAATTGTTGTTCATCAACAATCATTTGTAATTCTTCCTCCCATGTTTTCTTCCACATTGGTTTAACAGTTTTAACGTATTCCTGCAAAGATGCAAGCTCTTTAGCAACAGCCTCCGACTCTTCCTTGATTTGTTGAACTGATGTTTCTCGTGGTTTACTTCTCCTCGCTGTAACATCAGCTTTAAGATCATCAATAATATCCTGTAATTCATCTACTTTGGTAACTAAATTCTTTGTACGCGTATCCAATTTAGCCTTACCAACTTCAATAAATGTCCTTGCTGACCCAACTTTGGTTAATGCAACTTGTTTAACCGTGGCTGTCTGTGTCATTAAATCTTCAATCATTTTTTTTGTATCCGACTGAAATCCATTATAGAATTGTCGCATTACCCCCAAATCTCTTCGAAGATTTTGAACTTCGTCAAATTGTCCTCTAATATCATTGGCAATTTTCATAACAAGAACATCTTTAAGTTTTTTTTCTTCTTCTTTTTCATCCTTTTCTTTTTTATTCTTTACGTTAGAAAGGACAATCCTTGCTAAATTTTTAAAATTATTATCCGTGTGTTTCGGTGTTGGAGGAACCGAATTGACAATATTACCACGACGCAAAAGTTCTGTATTTTCTGAGAATGACTTTTTAATGTCACAGATCTCCTTCGTTAAATTAGCAATACCTTGATCAAAATGTTTTTTAACTTGTTCGAGTGCTAAATGAATTTTTTTAAAAAAAGAGTCCTAAATTAATAAACATTTAAGTTTCAATAAAAATCAATGACCAATTTTTAACTTCCATACCTTCAAGGTTCAAAGCTAACACCGACTTGTTTTTGACTTCGGAAAGGTCTTCCAATTCGTAAAATATCCCTAGACTTGCATCTTTTATATATATATTAGGAAAATCGTCCATTCCAGGATTATATTGAAATTTCTCAATAAATAACATTCTTATTGCTGGGATACTTATGTCCCCATCATATTCAATTTTCTTGACATCTTTACCAAGTTGCAAATATAATGTAAGACTCTTCTTTTTCTGCGGTTCTAAATTAATACCTTCAACGTTAATAGACGGAATTTCTACGTCATGTTTCTCTACTGTAGAAGCATCTTCTTCTTTTGGCAGTTCAGATACAGTTTCTAGACCAACTGAAACAATTTTATCTGTTCGTTCTTCATGATTTATTGTCTCATCATTTTTTTCAACCTGATTAGAAGCTACTATTTCGGGTGATGGTAATTCCAAGTTATCATGACTGTGTAAATTCGACCTTGACCTTGTATTACCACCCTTTTGCGTGTATGCCGATAATCTTCTGGAAGCACGTCGTTCAAGATTGTCGCTATGTTTCAATGCATCCATAGGATCTGGTAAATAACTTGGACTAACACCTACGTTAATACGTGGAGGTGAACTAACATTCCTTCTAACAGCGTTAGGAGGGGAACTGTCATTTGGCACTTTTGGACTCGTTGAATTTGTTGAAGCAGACCTTGTCAAATTTGGTATAACCGGCATAGAATTTTGTTCTTGGGTCTGTAAATGACGAAAAATGGCTTGCTTTGCCTTTAATCCTTGCAATAAATGTACTATAATATCTTTAATTTTAGGAAGATGAGCTTCCAAGGCAGATGGGGAAGCTTCCTCACTTAAAGCATTTTCTAGACAAACCCTTAAATCCTGTGGAATACTTGCTAGATCGCTATCAATAAATTAAATTATAAATTTTTAATATCTAGATAATATCGGAATATTATCAGTAAAATTTTCTCCTAACCTCATATCAATTCCTGACTGTCCAAATATATGAATAACCGTTTGTAACTCACTAGCAAGCTTCACGTATGTATCTGAAACTTGTTGTTCAGTCATACGCCCCAAAGACCAACCAGTCAAACCCTCCAGCAATAATCTGGTTGTAATTAGAAGTTGAGTCACTATACTCTCTATTGAACTCATCTAGATAAGGATAAAAAAGGGTATTAAGTGAATATTATTTGGAAGACCAAATTTGACAACCGACGTGTGAAAAATAACGCTTTATTGTATATTTGAACGTGATTTATGAAACTTCAAGGATTAATGACTATTGAACTTAAGTTCAAAAAAAGTGAAAAAAAAAAACTTTTTTTTAACTCACTGGAGTATTTCCAGTGCTTCTTCTTTGAGGAGTGGAAGGTGGGGAGAGCTCTCTCTCTCGTCCTGGTGTTGGTGAAGAGGATGGTCTTCTTTGAGGAGTAGGAAATGGTGAGTTAGTAGACGCTTGAGTGATTCGAGGATTGATTTGAGGAAAAGGCACTTGAGATGCATTATAAGCCATATTTTCTAGAATAATTTTGCGTTTTCGGAAGAAAATTTTCCTTTGTCCAAAAATTTTCGGGTATAATCACATGATTTATGTGAAAATGGGATTCCATTGAAAATTTTACAAAAATTGCCCTTAGAAAAATCCGTCATTACTGTATTTATTGTAAACAAGGTAAAAGATGTAAAAGATCGTTGACAAACTTTCGAAAAATTACATGCAAAATTTAATGTAGGCAACTGGGTGAGACCTCAAGCTAACTCTAAGCAAAATTGGCAACAGGTAGGATAATATTTTAATATTGCCTTTGTCAAAACATTGTTATTGCCCCGTGATGATATTAGTAACCAAAATGAGATTGTATTTGATACTATGTATCAAGGGCGATTTTTTTTATAAAACATGGAAAAACAAAAAATAATAAACAAAAAAAAAAAAAAAAACTCGTGTCATACATTATTGAATTCTTCATAAATTAATTGATCCATTAATAAAAAAAAATTATATATATATATTTTTTTAATGGTTGTTCTATGATGATAAATAAATTTACTTTTTGTTTCCTTGATTAAAGTGAAATAGTATCGGCGTAAGGCAAAGTGTTGATATCACCTAATGCAACAGTTGTGGGTTTGCTTTGAAGAACTTTCTGTGCCATCTAATGGTTAATTTAAAAAAAATTATCAGCAACATAGTACTACGTGAGAAATTCATCAGATGAAATTATTTCGTACATTTTTAACGTCATCGTCTGTGATATGATCAAATTCGACCAATGCTTCCGAGACAGGGATAATTTTGCCAGAGTGTAAAACCTTCACAATTATATATATATATATATTAAAAAAAGTAAAAATGTAAGAAATATAAGGTAAAAATCAATGCTATAATTATAATGTTACCTGGCCACCGTAAAGTTCGGTTTTGGAAGCACGTGTATCATAAGAGACAGCGGTGTGATATTTAGCCTTATTTATAGCACGTCGGAAATCATCTTTTGAAATACCATGTGCGGTATGCTTCAATTGTTCAGCAACAGCTCTGGCAGCCGCATACACGGATGTAGGTTCTCCCGACATATGTATACCAAAAAATCCAGCATCAGAATATCCAGCATTAAATGAAACAATTTGTACATCTTTAAGTCTATTTGCAGTTTGAGCTAAAGGAGTTACTCCATCACCCCATTTTATGTGTGTTTCTCCACTTAAATGAGCACGTAAAACTTGGAGAATAGAATAATCAGGAGTTCCTGCTGGAGCTCCTTCAAATCCAATAACAAAATGACTATCGCCAGCTGTGGCAATCCTAGACTCCCCACCAAAGTATTTAGAAGCAATTGGAGTGGTAGGAACGGCATGATTAACTCCCTCAAATAATTTATCTGTCAGCGACACCAATTCTTTGTGGTTTACAGATGTACCAATGACGGAAACGTTGGAAGCAGTATAAACCTTATTAGCAAATGCTATAACTTGGTCAACATTCTTTACCTTTGCCGTAGCGTTTGCAAATAAAGAATTTCCTAAACCATGACGGAAGGCAACTGAATGAGCCGCGTTTAGGGCTAAGACTTCGGGGATTGCTTCAGCTGCACCGCTATCAAATCCAACACTCTTTTTTACATCATCGAATTCATATGGCTCGTATTTTGTTTTGAAAATCACGTCGGATAACGCTTCCAAGAAATAAGAACTATATAATTATTGAATCCAAGCACGTTAGAATGTAATTTTTTTTCTTAATATATATATATATATATATATTCATATAATTCCAAAAGCAATTTTTATTTTATAAAATATTGACTACATACAGATCTTCACGTAAAAATTCACCGGAAAGAATCAAACTCTCTCTTGTCAAATTCGCCGATAAAATACCACCGAGAAATTCTGCTTCACGTGTTAAGCGAAATGCAGTTTTACCTTTAGTGTTCTTTAATCAAAAGACATGGTTAATTCATTATAAATATATATATATATATATTTGTGATCGCACAAGTGTAACATATTCACCAATTAATCGAAAGAACAATTGCTCGATTTTGTAAATAGAATATTCAGAATATAATAAGATGCAACGAGTACAATTCACCTTACCTTGAAAGCAAAATTCTTCAAAAAATGAGCTACTCCAACATTATGAGTGGATTCTGCCCGGGAACCAGCCTTTACAACGAGGGAAACAGAAGAAGCGGGGGCATTATCTTTTTGTATTTATAATATAATTTATAAATTGTTAAGAATTCCCCCCAAAAAAAATTGTAAATCGAGTATTTACCGTCAACTGAAACAACCGAGACTCCAGCTTTAGACTTTGTAACTATGGGTGAAGCAACTACACTAGCATAGTTACGTCTTAGCAGACCACTGATTGGAGTCACAAGTTTACTCGAGAACTGACGCGAATGAAGCATAGTGTCAATTTTCTGTTAAAGTGAATTCAAAAGAATAAATAAAATACATATCTCGAAAAACAAATTTTTTTTGGCAGATGAGATGTTGATCAAACACGTGATAGCAATTGATTATCTAACTCAATAAGGAATATCCTTTTATGGCCAATATTCCAAATATTTGTCATATGGTTTGAAATTAGACCCAACCATCATTTTGGTTTATAAGTAAAGTATATATTAAGTATATATTAAATAATAGAATATCTTATTATAAATGTTCATTTTATTTGACCCTTCATTATTCATGAAATAAACACATTATATTGATGATTTGTCATAGGGTGAATATTTATTTATAAAGGAATCAAAAGTCCTGTGAAAGGATTTAAAAAGGATATACAATATGATTTATAATTCATTATTTCATATAATATCATATCATTTATTTTATTTTTTATTAAAAAAAAAGAAAACTTGGCAGAAAATATATAGTATACTATATATTTTTTTTTGAAAAAGAGAGTGATAGATTTATTGATATATAAAAATCTATAAGTATTTAACTGATAACCTTTTTTTCCTAAATTGAAAAAACAAAGATTTTTTATTTGTTAACTGCTTTCATTATGATGATGATGAAAGTAATTCAAAGACTGTTTAATTATTAAACCATCTTTGTTAAATCAAAATATATATAAATATCCTAAATATATCATTTCTTTATAGATTAAAATAAAAATCAGTTTTGATAATTGATTTTGATATTGAATGATATTATTCTAGTAATTATTGATAGTATAATTTATATATAAATTATTCAAGAAATTTAAAAAAATAAATGTTTATCAATAAAATAAATAAGAATAATTTTGTTAAATAATGACATAAAGAATAAAATTATTTGAATAAATAAATGGATAGATGGAAAGTTGCATATTATTTTATTTATATGTATTCACATAACATATATTATTTTTGTCTTAAATGGTTTTAAAATAATTTAAAAAATCTAAATCTTTTTGAATATGCTTTATTTTTTATTTGAATAAATTAGAGTTTACAGATTTATGTATTTGATAATATCGCATTAATGCACTATAATTTTACATCACATTTATTGCATTTTTTGCACTATTAAGACAATTTTTAACATATTTTGCATTTTTCACATGATCTAAATTGAATTTACTATTTAAGAAAAATTAACATAAATCTGATTATTGCTATCTTATTTTTAATAAAATAATATTAACATTGAAGGGATTATTGAAAATTTCTAATTATCATACTCATTTTTGTTTAAAAAATCAAAAATTATATTGTAAATTTTGCAAATAAGTAGCAGGATTGAGAATTTTGTATATATTAGATAAATTAACATTGTACTTATACTATACTTGTACTAATTTTTATATTAATTATTATAATGTACTAACTGTACTAATTGTACTAATCACTGTATCTAATATAGTTAAACATGATCGAAAGTCTATTTTAAAAGCTCATATAAACTCACTAACTCTTTTAAAAAAGAAAAGAAAAATAAAAAGTAATGCTAAAGCTTTACAAAAAAAATATACCAAGTATTTATCAAATTAGATCAGAAAAATAAGAAATAAATTTGCATCTTATTAAAGCATTTAGCAAAGCTAAATTCTACTTAAAAAGGTTGATAAATTCAAACCTTTTTTTATAAAATATTATAATAATAGTAAGATTATATATATATATTTGTTTATTTATTTGTTTTAAATATTTATTACTAATATTAATAATTAAAATTAAAGGAGAGGCTGTTATTAATATAAACTATTTACATGAAAGATATTTATCAGCTGTTTTTGAATCAATAAATAATGTATTAATAAATGAATTAGCTAATCAAAGAATTTCTATAACTATAAATGAAACAATAGATAATTGTAAAAGAAATATGTTTAATATATTATTTAATTATTATATTTTATTATTAAATTAATAAATAACATTTTTTTAGAAGCTGTAAATCATATAACAATTGCATAAGCTTTTGTTAATACTATTCATTCCTATAATATTCTTTTTACCAATTTAATATTTTTTATTAGTGATAATATATTATATATGAAGAAATTATTTAATAGTATTTTATTTTCTTTAATATAAAACTTTTTTTTTTTTAGTGCGTTAGCAGGTAATGGAACCATAGTATATTATTACAACCTAAGCTGTATGCTACGGGGTGACTACCTAAGGTCTCAACATAATTTTTCATATGAAGCAACTATTAACTTGCACTAACCCCGAAGGTTGCTATCTAGGAATAGACTTTACACAACCCTTTTGAGGAGACATGTGTAGGTACCTAGACCTCTAGGGCAGTGTTGTCATGTGACATAATTAGGATACTAATGGGACACTAATGGGATATTGATGGGACAGATGAGACATTTGGGACATATATGGGACATAGTTGGGACATATAGTTGGAATATATAGCTGGGACAGCAAATGCTTGAGACATAGGAAATGGACATCACTGCTCTAGGAGTCCTATCAAATTTGAATAGAGGGATCACTTCAGCCCATAGAGTCGTCACTTCTATGCTTTACCAAAGTCAAGTAGTCTACAATT